AGATGAAGTTGGCAGTCACACTTTTTGTGAAGAATGATCAATATATCTAAATTTTTGACATCTGACAGTAAAAATAATACACAGATTTGCATCTGTGTGCAATTTGCAAAATAAACAAATTCTGCCTTCTAGTATTTTTAAACTTCAGTTTCAGAAATAAAATACATTTCAAACTCTTGAAGTGATTTGGTATTTATTCGCATGAACTATGTAATATTGGATTCTGTATTAACTGTTTAATATACATTTTTACTAATTTTTAGATTTACATGCTTTATATGTATTTGTGAAATATATATGCCTTCACAAAATTTAAAGTTCCAAATTTACTAGTTTTTAGTTTATTGTTTTACAAAAGAATGTCTTTCATTTTGTTTCCTTTTTTCTCTAATTAAAAATCTATATAATTTTTTACCTTTATTGAAGTATTATATCATTGAAAAATAAATATTGTATATATTTGAGATACATGCTTCCACAACTCTGTGATATTCTCCCCAAATATCAATAATGCAGTCTAGTCCTAAGAAAACATCAGATAAATCCAAACTGAGAAAGATGCTACAAAATACCCAACTGGTGCTCCTCTAGAGGATCAAAGTTATGAAAGACAGGAAAAGAATTGGATACTGTCACAGATTAGAAGTGACTAGGGAGGTATCATAACTAAATGCAATGACAGATCCTGGATTGAGTCCTAGAACAGCAGCAAAAAAGCATTAGTGAGACCCTGGTGAAATCCAAGTGTAATCTGTATTGGAGGGAATACCACTTTACTTAAGATAGTATTTTCATTTGGACAAATGTACCAGGTTATATAAAATGTTAATATTAGAGGAAGCTGGGTAAAAGGTATGAGAACCCTATCTTTCCAACTACCTTTTCAGCTTTTCTCTAAATCTAAAATTTTTCCAAAATAAAAAGTTTATTTATGAAAATAAAAACAAACTTCCACCAAAATTTTTATTGAAGAAGTTGGACACTTAAATGATGGTACCTTTTTAGCTAATCAAAATCCTGTTTTAGAAAACAAAATTATGAAATAAGGTTTAAAAAATGTACAGTAACAAAAACCAAACACAAACTATATACAGTATTATCCATATGTGTATCTGTATACATACATAAAGATTCTTTATATGCAATTTAAAATAATCATAAATAGTATATTATCATTGGTTATTTCAGGAAAAAAATGAAATAATGCCTGTTCAATTTTTTTTCTTTAAACCTTTTTGTTTCTTTCAGATGCCCTATAAAAGTAACTGCAAAAATTTTATAGGGAAGCGATATTAAAAGTAACTCTTGAATACTTATTTGTTGGTATGCTATACTCAAATACTTTTTAATTTTTCAGATAAATAGACTACAGTTTCACATTATATATTCTTACTTTTATAAGGGCCTTTTATGAAGATTAATAAAACATTTTAATTAACTAAAACATGAAGTTTCCCTGTACTATAAATATTATATCACCCCAAACTCAAATTATTAGTGTACAATTTGGACCATGACTAAATGAAATGAAATTCTCCCTCTCTCCCTCCCACTGTCTTTATTCTTCTCCCTTCCTCCCTCAGATATATAGATAGATAGAGCTATCTATAGCTATCTATATCTATATCTGAGGTATGTATCTATATATAAAGATATATCTATATACATAAATATATATCTATCTATATCTTTAAATATAGATATATATGAATTATTCCATACCTTAGATAGTTGGATAGATATTTAGGTAAATATTTAAAATGTAGGATATGCACCAATTAAGTAACCATTAACACTGGTGACCTTTTGTGGTTGGGATTCACTTTCTACTTTCTATATTTCTGTATTGTTTAATTTCTTTTGAGCAATAACATAGTTTGTAATAAAGTATATAGCAAAGTTATCTTTTAATATTAAAATATTAAATACACTTAAAATTTTAATATTAAAATCTTTATATGGTAAACACTTTTTCAAATTATCTTATTCAAAGTTAGAAAGTGAAGACTAAGGAACAATGAAATGTTTTTGAAAAAACCCTTTCTACCATGATGATTTGATGAACTGGGCATATTACCAGCTTGCTGAGCTATTGTTAGGAACAAAATTGTGGAAACACTATGATTTTGCATTCACTTTTTGACTGGCCGTTATTGTTCAGATTGCTTAAACAGTTCAACCATACACATTTAATCACTGCATAGAAAACTTAATTCTAGGGAGTGATAAGCAATCAGGATAATAGAAGAAAAACGTGGCTTGTCCCCAAATAAGCACAATGCGTTATTAGGTATCAAATGAAATTTTAATCTATTTTTGTAGGAAACAGAGCTAAACTGTGATGAATGTTCTTTACGTTATTGTAGAATATCCCAGACTTTTTAAAAAGTATATGGTGTGTGTTTAAGTGTAAATATCATAGATTATTCCTAGAAATTTTATAATTTTCAAGCCAGCTCTCAGCTTATATCCACAAGAGGACATGCTGATATTTTGGAAGCATTTAACCCATTCATAGAAAACAACTTTTAATTTTGTTTTAGATAGATGGCTAGATAGATGGAAAAATATGTTGAAACTTTTTGATTTTCTCTGTGGAGAATCTGCCTTACAGAGCATTTTGTTTCCCAGCTGACCCTGACTACTTACCATTTGTAAAGTGAGACTTGGTCTACATGTATAGCTTTCCTTCCTGTTTTTATTAATATATTAGGATTGTCTGAAAAAAATAAGCCATCTTCAACCTTTCTGTCACATTTTCTCATTGCTCTAAAAGTCAGACAGAAATGCATTAACATTTGCATAAATCAGTATTCTGTACCTAGAATTAAATGTGTTTTGATTTAGAAGAAAGTATAGAGGAGGTGATTCTTGTTCCCTGAGTACAAGCTCGGGGAACATTTACTTCCTGAGAGATGAATTAGAAATATGTTATGTCAATTAAAATATGCTGAAGGTGTTTAAAACAATGATGTGTCTATTATTTAACTGTCACTGATAGGAAATTGACTGCAAAACTACTGTCTAGAGTTCAGAATTTACTCCCCTCTGTGTTTCTTTTATTCACTTTTCAAGACAAAAAGTATCTATCAACTACTGGATTATAAGTTCAACCTGGAATCTGAAAATCAAATTTCTTTTTTTTCTCTCCTTTATTTCTCATTGCAGACGATAAAGATACTGCCATTGAAATTCAGCTGTGGCAGTATATGTGATTAAGCTAAAGTCTAATTGGCTTTGCAGTGTTAGCAGAAGCCAAAATTTAACAGTTGATTTTTTTCCCTCGTATTAAAATAAACCTCTGTGATTCACAGTCTCAGAGAACAGAATTCTGTTGATTAAGAAAGTCTTTTTATGGGCAATAAAGAGCTGATTATAAGAATTAAAACTTAAAGTTTAAAGTCATATTTTTTCTGAATGTTTTATAATGTAACATTGTACAAACTTATTTAAAAGCATAAATATTTGAGATACTAGCATAAATATTTTCAAAATATGTGAAAGCCATCAATGATTTGAAAGGCAAGCTTAGATTTCATTTCAAGTAATATTCAAAGTGACTGTATTCACAACAATTCACTTTATAGAATGAGGTAAACTCAACACAAACAAAGAGTAGATGTGTTTCTGGCAGCTCTACATCACTACTGTGGCCACCACAGGGATTTATTTGGTGGTATGCTCCACTTACAAGGCAAACCAAAGTGTTTCTGGTGGTGATTGAAGTAAACAAGTGCCAGAGAACTAGGACATGAAATGAGAAAATATTTCTCTGACAGGCTTTAAACTGGCTATTATTTTTCTCCAATGTCTCCCTCTGGAGTTCTTTAACCAGACCTTGCCCAAAACCTAGAGGCTAGCTTTCTCCAGGCTTGTAATTCTAAAGTTATTAGAGCTGCTCCATTTGACTACGCTTTCTATGATTTAAAAATGAAAAGCTTACTGAAATAGTCTATTGAAAATATTTTTAACAATGAAGATTTGATCATGGTAACGAAGCTTCTAGTTGAACTCAATATTTGATCTGAATGGTTACATTGTATTTTTGAATCATTCCATGATTTGAGAATGCATTGACCAATAGTGCCTAATAAATAATATCATCTCATTTTTATTTCTGGTGTGAAATAAATAGTAGTTATAAAATGGATCATCACAATCACATATTTCGGATCATAGTGACAAAATTTCACATTTTTTTAAAAAAAAGATTGCGTACTTTCCTCATTTTAATATATTCCCCTAAAACTAAAATTAGAGCTGCTGGAGTCATAGTATATGCTGGTTATTTGTTCTTTAAACTCATATATGGATAAGTGGAGATATCTGTGTCCAACGTAGAGAAAAAACAAACAATGGTGCCCAATTCTCCATTCCAAATGCAAGGAAGTAATAAGAAATTTGAGACAGACTGATATCTAAGAATAAATGTTAAGAAGTTTCTGAAAATTAAGTTGGTTGTAAACTCTGAATACTACAACAAGGTTTACTAAAATTGTGGTGAAATATAAAAACCATTAGGAAAAAAAAATGAGAATAGCATAAAAGATCACATTCCAAGTGCCTTCATTTTTATATCAAAGAAAGCAACTTTTTGAATAAAATATATACTTAAAATCATGAGGAGTTATCATTAAGGAATAAAACATTTAAGTCTCATAATCTGTTAGAGATTTAAAAATTTTGCTATTTTGGGCTAAACGCTAGATTCCTAAGTTAAGATTTGAAGCATATAACCCATTGAATTTATATTACTAATTTTGTAATTAAAGTAAAATGTTCAACTGATAGAGCTTTTATGAGCATTTTTATCAATACTCTCCATAAAACCTCCTTTAAAAAAAAACAGTAAATCAAAAGAAGGAATAGAATAAAAACAAAGGACTGTCAATTTTTCAAGAAAAACACTTATTTAATTCTCATTTATTCTTTGCAGACACCTGTTGGAAGTGGATGGTAACATAGGTGATTAAACTAATTTTTTTGTTTGTTTGTTTTAGGGGCTGATGTTATCAACTTTGATGGCCATGTTGTATTACCATATAGATTCAGAAACAAGAAGATGAAAACACTGAAAGATGTCATTGCCTTGAAATTTAAGACGTCTGAAAGCGAAGGAGTAATCTTGCACGGAGAAGGACAGCAAGGAGATTACATTACCTTGGAACTGAAAAAAGCCAAGCTGGTCCTCAGTTTAAACTTAGGTATGTTCTGATTCTCAGTACTATTCTTTCCACTATGGATGTTCCCATTAGGAAAATGTTCATGTTGCTCAATTCTTTAAAATGTAAATTATAAAAAGAGCTCATATTATGTTGTCAATTCATTCTTAATGTATAACCGTTGGTATATAATGAAATACCTATTCATTCAAAAAATATTTATTAAACACCTCTGCTATACAAGGTGCTATACTAGTCTTTGGCCTATAGCAGGGAACAAGTAGACAAGATCCTTAAGCTCATTAAGTTCATGACCTAATGGAGGTATCAGACAATATAGCATTTATTATTCTTATTTTAAAACAACCAAGCAAAAATGAATGACTTCAAATAATAAATATGAACCAGTTGAGTAGATTTATATCATAAGGGGAATAGGTTAATATGTCCTGTTCAAAGGCAACGGGGCCAATATTGGAAAGTGTAGTGACGAAAGCCTCCTCTGAGGAGAAAATATTTAAGATGAGATCTGAGTGATGAAAAGGAATTAGCCATGAAAACATGAGAGAAATGGGATTACATAGGAAGGGAACATTGAAGACAAAAAGCATGCTCAAGAACCAGGAAGGATGTCGCTGTGCATAAATGCTGTGGGTTATTAAGACAAAAGATGAAATCCAAGAGGTGGAAATTGCCCAAATCCTGTGGGATCCTGCACGGCATGCCAAATTGTTTAGATATTATTTTTAAGAATAGGAAGCTGTTGGAAGGCATTAAACTGTCTGGCTTTATCATCTTATTTTTAACAAGTGCATTGAGACTTCAAGAATTACTTGTGTAGATATGAGAGTCGCAGCAGAACTTCTGCACAGTTTGGGTGAGAGATAGACTGCTTGTATGAGGTGGTTTTCAGGGGAGATGCAGAGAAATAGTTCAATTAAGGAAATTATTTTAGTGGTACATTCAGCATGACTTATGACGGGTTGGATATAGCGTAAGAAGAAAAGAGTAGAAATAAAGAATGAGCCCTAGGATTTGGGTTTCAGCACCAAATGGACATTAGTGTCATTTTCAGAAATAGAGAAGACTTTAGGAGGAACTCTAGAGATCAGTTTGGACATGGTTAATTCTGCTTATTAAACATCTAAGTAGAACTTTCTATTATGGAAGTTGAGAAACGAGACTGAGAGAAGACTAAAATGGAGACTAAGTAGTCGTGAATAGTGAGTAGGAGAAAATGAAGAAAGTGTAGTATCACAGAAATCAAGGACACAAAAGTGGTTGTCAACTGTTGAATTCCTCTAAATGTCACGTAAGATGAAGATGGAGAGGCAAATATTGGGCTTAATAGCATGGAGGTTACTGTTAATTTCCATTCAGTGGAATGGAAAAGACAAATTTTCTAGGTAAAGAAAGAATGAAAGGCATAAGTAAATATTTTGACTACAGTTAACTAGAGAGAAAGAACACAGAGAAATGAAATGTTGGCTGCTGAAAGATCTGAATTTAAAGAAGTTATTGTTTTATGTGGGGTTGTTGTTGTTGTTAGTTTTTATTTTTTTTAAATTTATTAACTTATTTTTGAGTCAGAGTCTCACCCTGTCACCCAGGCTGGAGTTCAGTGGCATGATCTCTGCTCACTGCCACCTCCACCTCCTGGGTTCAAGTGGTACTCCTGCCTCAGCCTCCTGAGTAGCTAGGATTACATGCTCCCCACACCATGCCTGGCTAATTTTTGTATTTTTAGTAGAGAGAGGGTTTCATCATGTTGGCCAGGTTGGTTTCGAACTCCTGACCTCAAATGATCTGCCTGCCTTGACCTCCCAAAGTGCTGAGATTACAAGCATGAGCCACCATTCCTGAACCTGTTGTTGTTTTTTAATGGACAATAACAATGTAGGTCTGTATGTTGATGATGTAGCTAGGATTTACTTAAAGCTAAAGTGAAGATCTGCAATATTGGTACTGGCATTCAAAATTATAGTTTTGGCAGAGTAATGGTACCTCTTTCTCTTTTTTTAAATTTAAGTTCATGGGTGCACGTGAAGGATGTGTAACTTTGTTACGTAGGTAAATGTGTTTCGTGATGGTTGTCTGCACAAATCATCCCATCACCTAGGTATTAAGGCCAGCATCCATTAGCTATTCTTCCTGATGCTCTCCTTCCCCCCCACCCAACACTCTGACAGGCCCCACTGTGTGTTTTTCCTCCCCATGTGTTTATGTGTTCTCATCATTCAGCTCTCACTTATAAGTGAGAATATGTGGTATTTGGCTTTCTGTTCCTACATTAGTTTGCTGAGGACAATAGCCTCCAGCTCCATCCATGTCCTACAAAGGACAAGATTTCATTTCTTTTTATGGCTGCATAGTATTCCATGGTGTATATGTGCCACATTTTCTTTGTCCAGTTTATCATTGATGGGCATTTAGGTTGATTTCATGACTTTGCTATTGTGAATAGTGCTGCAATGGACATATGTGTGCATGTATCTTTATAATAGAATGACTTATATTCTTTTGGGTTTTATACTCAGTAATGGAATTGCTGGATCAAATGGTATTTCTGCCTCTAGATCTTCGAGGAGTCTTCACACTGTCCTCCACAATGATTGAACTAATTTACCCTCCCACCATCAGCATAAAAGCTTTCCTTTTTCTCTGCAGCTTCACCAGTATCTGTTGTTTTTTGACTTTTTAATAATAATCATTTTGAGATGATATCTCATTGCAGTTTTGATTTGCATTTCTCTAATGATCAGGGATGTAGAGCTTTTTATTCCTTGCTTGTTGGCCACGTGCATATCTTTTTTTGAGAACTGTCTGTTCATGTACTTTGCCCACATTTTAATGGGGTTGTTTGTTTTTATCTTGTAAATTTGTTTAAGTTCCTTGTAGAAGCTGCATATTAGACCTTTGTCAGATGGATAGATTACAAAACTTGTTTCCCATTCTGTAGTTTGTCTGTTCACTCTGATGATAGTTTCTTTTACTGTGCAGAAGCTCTTTAGTTTAATTATATCCCATTTGTCAATTTTTGCTTTTGTTGCAATTGCTTTTGGTATCTCCATCATGAAATCTTTGCCTTTGCCCATGTCCTGAATGGTATTGCCTAGATTTTCCTCTACGGTTTTTATAATTTTTGGTTTTATGTTTAAGTCTTTAATTCAGCTTGAGTTGATTTTGTATATGGTGTAAGGAAGGGGTCCAGTTTCAGTTTTCTGCATATGACTAGCCAGTTCTCCCATCTCCATTTATTCAATGAGAAATCCTTTCCCAATTGTTTGTTTATGTCAGGTTTGTTGAAGATCAGATGGTTGTAGGTGTATGGTCTTATTTCTGAGTTCTATATTCTGTCCCATTGGTGTAGGTGTCTGTTCACACAAGTACCATGCTGTTTTTGTTACTGTGGCCTTGCAGTATAGTTTGAAGTTGGGTAGTGTGATGCCTCCAGCTTTGTTCTTTTTACTTAGGATTGTGTTGGCCATTAGGCCCTTTTTGGGTTTCATGTAAATTTTAAAATAGTTTTTTAAAAATTCTCTGAAGAATGTCAATGGTAGTTTTATGGGAATAGCATTGAATCTATGTATTGTTTTGGGCAGTATGGCCATTTTCATGATTATTCCTATCTTTCCTATCCATGAGCATGGAATGTTTTTCCATTTATTTATGTCATCTCTGATTTCTTTGAGCAGAGGTTTGTAGCTTTTGACAAGGCCCTTCACTTCCCTTGTTAGCTGTGTCCTAGGTATTTTGTTATTTTCAGTAATTGTGAAGGGTGGTTCATTCATAATTTGACTCTCTGATTGCTTGTTGTTGGTTTATAGGAATGCTTGTGATTTTTGCACATTGATTTTGTATCCTGAGACTTTGCTGATGTCGCATATCAGCTTAAGAATCTTCTTGGCTAAGATGATGAGGTTTTCTAGGTATAGGATCATGACATCTGCAAAGATAATCTGATTTCCTCTCTTCCTATTTGAATACCCTTTATTTCTTTCTCTTGACTGATTGCCCTGGTCAGGATAGCCAATACTATGTTGAATAGCCATGGTGAGAGAGGGCATCCTTGTCTTGTGCCAGTTTTCAAGGGGAATGCTTCCAGCTTTTGCCCATTCAGTATGATACTAGCTGTGGGTTTGTCATAGATGACTCTTATTATTTTGAGGTATGTTCCTTCAAAACCTAGTTAACTGAGAGTGTTTAATATGAAGGGATGTTAAATTTTATTGAAGAACTTTTCTGCATCTACTGAGATAATCATGTGGTTTTTGTCTTTATATCTATTTATGTGATTAATCACATTTATTGATTTTTGTATACTGAACCAACCTTGCATCTCAGGGATGAAGCCTACTTGATTGCAGCAGATACACTTTTTGATGTGCTGCTGGATTCAGTTTGCCAGTACTTTGCTGAGGATTTTTGCATAGATGTTCATCAAAAATATTGGCGTGAAGTTTTGTTGTTGTTGTTGTTGTTGTGTCTCTGCCAGGTTTTGGCCTCATAGAATGTGTTAGAGAGGAGTCCTTCCTTTTAAATTTTTTGGAATAGTTTAAATAGGAATGGTATCAGCTCTTCTTTGGACCTCTGGTAGAACTCAGGTGTGAGTCTGTCTGGTCCTAGGCTCTTTTGGTTGGTAGGCTATTTATTACTGCCTCATTTTCTGAAGTGATTATTGGTCTAGCTTAGGGAATCAATTTCTTTCTGGTGTAGTCTTGGGAGGGTAAATGTGTCCAGAAATTTATCCATTTCTTCTCTATTTTCTAGTTCATGTGCATAGAGGTGTTTATAGTATTTTCTGATGGTACAGAGAATAATATAAAAATTATAGAGAACTATAAACATATTTCTATAGTGAAATACAAATGTATTTCTGTGGGGTCAGTGGTGATACCCCCTTGTCATTTCTGGTTGTGTTTATTTGAAACTTCTCTCTTTTCTTCTTTATTAGTCTAGCTAATGGTCTATTTTATTAATTATTTAAAAAAAAAAAACAGTGTATTAGTCCATTCTCACACTCCTATAAAGAACTGCCCAAG